AAAAGATAGAAATATATCTTTATTATGATATTGAATAGCATAGTTTCTTCTAACTTTTTTCGAAATTTAGTTAAAAAAAACGATTTATCTATGTTACTCATAAATTTGGTACTAAAACTTCTTTTATCACTCGAAGGTACTTTTCATCTTCCTTATGAAAACCAACTGAACAAATTAATTAAAATTGGTAATAAATCTATTCTTCTTGTATGATAGTGCATGAGCTTATAAAAACAACCATAGTTGGAAATGCTAATCAATGTTGAAATGCACTAGTAAAAAGATGTCTTCATCAGAAAAATTATGACAAAAATTATTTATAATTTATACTCTTTCAAAATAGGTCTTTATTTTTTTCTTAAAGTTTCACGTGACAAGTGCTGCCAAAGTATGTTAGTATGTTCCAATAAACTATATACGTAATCTTCATTGATGAAATTGTGTAAGTTATGTTTTCTTGAAAACTTAAACCATGTTCATCATTTTTATCCATTATACACAGAATAAATATTATTAATGGTTAACAGAATATTTGATGAAATAAATTATGTTTTAATTTTGTTCAGTTGTAAAACGTTCATTTCTAATTAATCACTGAAAATGAACAAAAGAAAAAACGCTTTGACATGAAGTAAAATATCAAAGATAAGAAAGAAAAAAAGGTGAGTGTGGGTGTGTGCGCGTGTGAATAATTGCCTACACCCACATCCACACTCCACACCCACACCTTCATATGGCTTATATGTGTAAATCATTAAAAATTTTCTCATATATGATATAGATAGGTTAGCAAGGATTAGTACATATAATATGTAGATCAAGATATGTTCTTAGTCAAGAATAATAATCTAAGATAGTATTTGTTCGATAGTCAAAGTATTTGTCATAATTCATTAAAGTTAGCTTTATAATTCGTTGTCCATTAGACTTCTCTGTTCTTTGATATTGATATAGATTGTAACAAGAAAATAATATTTCTTCTTCACCGAGATACTTTGTATGTTCTGGTCGAATCTCCATACAAAATTTTGACCATTCTGGAGTAATATCAATGTGAAATAATGTATTCTTATCTTTAAATGGCATCGACTTCGATGTTGATGTGAAACTTGGAATGAAAAAGATATTTTTCGTTTCATAGGCTTGAATTTCACTCGGTGACATATCTGCACCTATACAAAAGAAAAACTATGTTGTACTAGAATGTTTCGACAACTATAAAAGATCCAACCTCGAAATACGACACCCAAGAATTTCATTTGTGACATACCAATAGAATATTTCAATTGTCTGATGTATGGTCCATAAGATTTTAATTTTGGTGAATCTGATGCTAATGCCATATTGACTTCGGTGCAATACCAATTTGGACCTGATGTGTATTGCCAAATACAATCTCTCATGCTACGAGGCTTCTCCTCATCAGATAACCATCCAGTACAATATTTGAGATAATTTGGACCTTTTTTATGTACTGGATAAAAATTGACTACCTGATCTGATATAGACATATTCTTCATTGACTTAGGTAACAACTTATGATCTGGAAATTGTGTTGATACTGGCAGAAGTCGAATAAAATTTGGATTAGGATAATGAGTTGAGTACGATGTGACAGAATGAGAACGCGATTTCTTCAAGGTCAAACTCGTATTCGATTGTCCATAGTTTTTTGTCGTTAATGAATGTTTGTTTTTAGAACTCTGATTAAACCATTTAGAGGTTTTATATGACGGTGTATCAGATTTCACTTGGGCAGAGTAAACAAACTTTGAACTGGATTTGTGCGAATTACTAGGATAACTAGATCGACTATGATAGCTCGATGAATGCGAATCAGTAGATTGCAAACTTGGTTTATATGAATTATAAGCTTTGCTTGACAAGGTACCATATCCTGCAGAAGACGGTACAATAGCTTGGTAGCTTGGATTATTTATCGAGCACGCTCCAGAAGTGAAACCACCATGAACGGATGAAGACGGTACAGCAGCCTGATAGCTTGGATTACTTGTTGAACATGCTCCAAAACTCATAAGTGGAACTGTAGAAGTATTAGATGAACCACCAGAAGAAATATGTCCACTTGAATCCCCAATCATTGTTATATTACTCCTACAACTTATCTTAGATTTTATTCGTTTAGTAAAAAAACAACTAGCTGGTTAACGTCAGCTCAAGATCAGAAAAGAAACAATAATTCTCATCAACTTCTTGAAATTATTCTTTTACTCTGAATAAATAACATTGAACAACAAACCTGAAGGGTAGATAACATTTCTATCTACCCTAAACTATAAATTTTAATGGACTCGATCTTTATTTATCCAAATTCTAATCACAATCATTTTTAGTTAGATATCTAGAACTCTTTCAAGATCTTAAGGCAAGTTTCAGTCTGCTTATTGCAAATGAACATTCAGTTGTTGATAAAATAAGAAAAGGATGTAATTGTGTTCTCAAAATTTATCTTTTTCGTTGTATAGAAAAATCAGTGACATACAGTTTTGTCTAATTTTTAGAGCAAAAAGTGCAACTCTAAAAGAAACTACTGTTTCTAAACTCTAGAGCATTTCACGTTGTATCTTTTGTAGGAGTGTTACTTTATCTTTACTTTGAAATAAATATAAATACAATCGTTATATTTATAAAGAAAAGATAAAGATATTCTCTTATTTATCTTTATAAAGTACAGGTAAAATAAATAGTACAAAACCTTTTTCCATCATAATTTTATCCCTATTTTTAGCAAGCAGTTTACATGAAGTGATAATACCCTAAAATTGGAATGAAACATGCATGAAAATTTTTTCCATATATTTTTCATGTGTTCGCCTATTTCTCGAAAACATCAAATGTAGACATGTTGTACTGGACAAGGATTGTAACATATCCTATTGTTATATCACTGGCTTTTTTTACATTTCGCTCATTAAAAAAATCTTCCATTTATTTTTACATTTTCTTTATTTTCTAACCGTAAAGATTATATTTATCTTTATTTTTCAAATCTAAAGATTTTATTTCTATTTTTTCTTTAATATAAAAGTCTATAAATATATAGTGACACCTTTAATCTTTTGATATATTTTTCTCTCTCGCAAAAATGTATTGGTGATCCAGAACCGAAATAAAAGCCACGCTTCATGTAAA